ATGGTCAACACCTCCCACCCACTGCACAGGACTATAGAGGAGCTGAAGAGCTCCTTCAGTGGAAGACTGAGGCCCCCTCAGTGTAAGAAGGAGTGCTACCGCAGGGCCTTTATCCCCACCACTCTCAGACTGTACAACAAGTCACTTGAAGTCACTGCATTAAGACTGAAAAAACCTGCACTACTATTGACACTTCTTTCTAATTGCCACTTTTTGTACTTAATATGCCCTGCATCAACATGTTTACTTTGCACATTTCCTCTTTTTGCACAATCTTGAGTGTTTCTATCCATGCCAAATGTAAATTTATCCTGTTTGAGATTAATAAAGTATATCTTATCTTATTATTTATTTTAATTTGGTTTTTTTTGTTTTTTACAATAGCTCAATCAGATAGTAATTGAATTACAGAGGTAAATTGACCTTTGAACGATATTCTAATTTTTACAGTTTACATAAAATAATTGACAATTGCATTGTTAGCGTTCGTCAATCACCGACAGCAAAACAGTTACGTTCGTCTGCTCGATCGCTTAAAAATTATGTGCCATTTGCTGTATAGGTTGCTATGGAAACCTATATTGTTTACACTTTTTCGATTATTTTTTATGAGCCTTGATAATATTTTGTGTCCATTTTTCTACATAGAGACTGAAGAGGACTGGGTCACTCCTGAAGACTGACCCGCTGTGCTGCGTTTGTTTAGCTTTCACTCTGTATCTGAGATTTTATGTGAACTGGGATTTGAGAGGAAGCATGAATGACTGAGTGGGTGTGAGGGTGTGTGTGTGTGAGGGTGTGTGTGTGTGTATGTATGTGTGTGAGAGAGAGCGTGTGTGTGTGTATGTGTGCATGTGTGTCATCTCCAGCTGAGCAGCAGGATGCAGACAACCAGGAAGAGATAAGCCCTGGTGAATGAGAGAGCTCTGCAGGAGTGTGTAGTAGTGGTGTGGTCATATGAGCGTGTGTGTCTGCATAGGGAAATCATTTCACAAAGGCCTGGAAGTGTGTTTTCTCCTGTCTACCAGTGCGGTACTAGAGAGAGATAAGCAGACAGCCAAATATTCCCCTTATGTTTTCCCAGCAAAAACAGGAGACGGAATACCAACCACTCAGAGCCGTGCCACCGGGTCAGGCCTGAAATGAGCTGTACTTCCATTTCTTAGAGAGAAGAGACACTAGCACTAATATGTTGGCATTACATTGAACCAGAGGAATGAATGCATATCACAGAAACTATGAACAGTCTCAGTCCTGGACTAAAGCCGCAATTCTTGACGACAGCCACGACCTCAGTCCAAGATCTACACTCTCAGTCCAGGCTGTAGTCCTGGATCCACGGTCCTAGATACAGTCTAGATACAGCCTCAGTTCTGGACTCCGCTGCCCATCCATAGAAGAGGATCCCTCGTCACTGTGGTTCTCCCTGAGGTTCTCTTTTTTTTCTCAGTGGGATTTGTATAATAATTCAAAGTGTATTTTCCATGGCAGTTGTGGCCCCAGTCAGGAGGATGGATGCTTTAGAAAAAGGGAGAGCAAGGCACCAGAATGCACAAACTCCACATATAATTAATTGAGTAAAGGCATAAGTGATATGTGCCCAAAATTCATTGCAATAATAAAGTAGCAATATGTAACATTTTCATGTAAAGTCATCATTAAATGGCCCTAATCTGTCAAAAGCGTTAATAGATCATGCTCTTTTCAAGTACTTCTTTAACTGATAACAGTAGTTCAGCTGAGATATTTGGATTTCAAAATTTGTTTTACAGCCCCTATATCTTGTTGTAGTCATTTCGATGTCCCGCCCTCCACCATTTTACCAATCAGAAAGTCTGTGATCCGGGTTGCCAGAACTTACCGCGTCGAGCGAATCTCACTAATAAAGTAACTTGTGGTTGCAGTACTAAAAAGGGTCTCGTTATGATTCTCAAATTATTAATAACAAAACAGGAAGTACAAAAAGGTTTCTATCTTTGTGAAAAAGTTGCTGGTTATAGATTTGTTGTTGACAAAACTCTATATATATACTCTATCTATTCAGATTTTATGGTCCCAGCTGGATTTGTCAGCATATCTGGCAACCTGAGTCAGGGAGAGTGCAGTACCTCTTTTGGCCAGATTATTACATAATGCTCCTTTAACTACTTTAGCTTGACAGACGAACAAAACCTCAGAAGGAATCCAGTCTTTGTCTCAAAATACATATATACCCCCTACGGCTGGATAATGTGTGTTTTTAAAAATTACTATTACAAAAGACTATAAATAGGTGTTAAAATGGGGTTTATTCATATTAAACAAATGTAGTTCTTAAGTATATGTGTGAATGTGTTTTAATTTAATTTACTCAAATAGACTCAAATAGAATAATAGATCGTTCAATGAAGATATTATTAAAACTCAGCCCTAGTATTGTTTCTGTGTTTCAACTGCACATAACCACACAGATACAGTTTGGTTCACCTATTCTTCGCTAAAACTCACAACTGTACAACAAGTAGAAGGTGTATTTCTGTAAAAGAATATTCAGACTATCCATGAGCAGAGCGACACCTCAACCTCCTCTTGTCCAGCCAACCACACCTCGGCTTCTTTAATCCTCCAGCTATGGGTCTGACCAGGCAGAGCATCAGCATTTGGAGGGGGTTTCCTGGTCACTGCAGACAGAGGTCCTATGCAGCATTGAGGGACGGGTCAAATGCAGAGGACAATTTTCTCTTCTGGGACACCATAAAGTAGATCTGACTTTCTCACCAGCCTTCATGACACTTCATCCCACTTCCTGAATAAACATTATAGTTTCCTTCTTAGTGAATATGTAATATTTTAAAACATCCATAAATAAACAAACACCAAATTGTTATAATGTTGGTGCCACACTGCAGGGCAACCCGCAAAGACATTTTGGAATAGCTTAAATATCCAATATGTTGACGCTATCCATTTTTAAGTTAATCATTTAATTCCATCTAAACTACAATAGTTGTCGACTAATTTAATAAAAAGAAAATATATTCCAAAATATTGCAGGAAGATTAATCCAAATCAGTCACAATAAGCAAATCGCAAAGACAGGGCTATTTAAGTCCCAAACACAAAATACACAGTGTTTTTATAGAGAAAGGACATCGCACAGGAGCTAAAAGCTTCTTAGAGTTAGTCTACGGCCATTTTTTTTTTTATCTCAAACTAATCAGAGAAATCACTGAGAAAGTGAAAGATATTCCGCTGTAGTTTGAGAGTTCATTTCGTCTATACATGTTCAGAGTGCTTTCTCCACACAATGTGTGTCTGAATAATCACAATTAGATAGTTTAACAAAACCGTGCAGCACTACACCAAAAAACCTTTTGTGTGTGAGAGGATTTTTAGGACTCACAAAGAAACAATTACAGCATGTCACATTTCAGGAGGAAATATGTATTATTATTGTTATTATTAAATGCTTTATCTGTAAATAAGCTGCACTAGTGAAAGTCAGATTCTAGCTGATTGATTTTACTTTCCTTTACCAACAATATCATTTTGTGTATTATTATTATTATATGCTTTCATGTTTATTTTGTCTATATTGGAGAACATGTTTGAAGCACAGTATTGAGTTATAACAGATTTGGGTTTTTATTTGCTTTTTTACGGGTTACTAGATTTAGAATTCTGTGTTTTGGTTTCATTTGATCTTTTTGTAATCTGTCACACTTCAACAATCTCAGTCTCAACATTATCATTCACCTTTCTTTTAGACTGAAATGTAATTGGTTCAAACTTTAAAACATTGAATATAAGCAGTTGCAGCTTAACTACGGCCAAAATATATGAATAAATATGAAACATCTGTCAAATAAGTGACTACTCTGTAGTGTAAATAAAAACAGTCACTGACATTGAACAGACAAGACCTTCTCAGTCACAGGATAAATGTTAGAGTGTGTGAGTGCGATCAAAGCGCTGAGGCTCTGAGGTCCCAGTGGAGTCCGGGGCCACAGTGACAGAGGGCATGTGTCCAGGCTGCAGTGCCCATGTATGTGGTATGTGAGGAATGCATGTCCACCAGCTCTGCACACCTGACTGTTTCAGCAGGACCTAAATCTGTTTGCATCACTTCAATATTACTTCAACACAAGCAAAGTGAGGGGTCGGGGGTCAACCCTCTCACAAAGCACTGAATGCCACAACAAGGAATTACAATACTGTAAGTAAATGTAAGTAGGTCGCAGCATGATTTTTGATTTGGGACTAATATATAAACATGGTATTTTTGAAGCTGCGTTTTATTGTTTTCAAGGTGCCACCCACAGTGACAGTGAGGTGGTATCCATTACTGGTAATAATAATAATAATGCATCAGTTTCATTTGTTCACTCCATACAAGGTGGTGATAAACTACTACTGTGGCCACAGCTGCCCTGGGGCACACTGACAGACGCGAGGCAAACAGTGTATGCCCCTCCGACCACCACCAACCCTTCACACACATATCAGACATACTAGGCAATGTGGGTGAAGTGGGTGTCGGTGGAGAAAGTCTTGTGGTGGGCTCGAACCCACGACCTTCAGGTACAAGGCTCTACCAACTGAGCCACTGTCGCCCTGTTACAGCTTCTGTTCACCTGGAAAAATCAGCGCAACTGATAATCAAAGAAAAAGTATTCTCATTCCCACGTATGCACACGCGTGCACAACTGAGGCTTAAGTTCTGACAGGCCATTCAATAGGGCTTATAGCACGTTTTGCCGGAGACTGGTAATGGCTTCTTTTTTTTCGTAAAGCGTTTGAAACAAAAATCGCAGCTCGTGCATGAAAGCTCAGTTGTCTCTGTGCTCGTCATATTAACGCATTATTCTAAGACAGCAGATTGCACGTGGCATCAGCTGCAGGATCACCGCAGGACGCAGACTGGACGCACAGTGGAGCAGGAGCTCTCTGGAGACACGTGCCGCCTCATCCCGCTCCCTTTGCACTTTGGCACAACATCACATCACTGTACAATTACTCACCAGCTTTGCATGGGTCTTTGTAGTCAATGCCATCGGATTTATCTTCTTCATAGTAATCATAGTCTGTTTCTCCATAATCAAAACAGTTAATAACAGATATTTTAGTCCAGAAAGTCAAGCCGGCAAGTAGCGTGATCCAGCGCATCTTTGCCAGTGCCAGGGGCACGCTGTCCATTTAGGGACAAGTGAAGAAAGGGTGTCCTGCTCTAGGAGACGGTCACTCCGCTCTCCGGAGAAAGCATCAGTAGCAGCCGCTAACAAGTCATTAAAAAGCCGGGGTAATGGGAGTCCTCGCTGTCAGCCATGCCACTCAGGTGTCCCTCACTTCCAGAGCTTCACGGTCTTTCCTGAAAAAGTGCAGCCTTCCGATGACGCTTCTCAGGTGAGCCTATTGAGAAACAACAGTGAGCCACAGCAGCGCGTCTCTGCGCAAAGACGCATATATATAAGTCTAGTAGGTATCAGAACGTGCAGACTCTCTCTCTGACTCTGTCCCTTCAGTGCGAGCACCGCCTCCCAGCACTACCTCCCAGTACTGCCCCACAGCCCACCACTCTCCCTCTACCTGTTCTGTCCACACTGCTGATCCAGCAACACTTTTGGCTCTGCGCACATCCTTACTACAAGACTATTCCTGTGAATGGCGTTGGCAAAGCTTATTGTCTCCTTTCTCAGGTCAGTGTTGATAGAAAAGAGACTGATACTGACATTTACATAACACTGGACGCTCTGCCCTGCAGCACCACAGAGAATACTGTAAAACCGGTAGCGGTAAAAGTAACACCGAGGTTCCAAACCCTCAATCCTCAATCTGCAGCCTCATGGAAAAGGATGTGTTTTGTAGGTGACAACAAAACTATTAAAGTGTGGTTTAAAGGACTGGCTGTAGACTAGTACAAGCAATACGAATATATGCGCGCATATACGTCCCCTGAGGTTATGCTATGTCAACACTAAATAGGTTACTTTGCCAGTAGGTCGATGAGCAGATGAGAGATGTATAATTAACCTTATCCTCTTTCCATCGTAGCCTTGAGTGAAGTGAAGCCGAGATAAGGTGTGGGCGATTGCATTCAACAGTAGCATAAGAAGACTAGGCAAGTGCTTAAGAATAATCCAACTAGAAGGCAAACACGAACAAAGTATGCATAATCTTCATACGGAGGAAAAGCGCAGCTGACAAACAGTTGTAAAATCCGTCGAAGACTCCCTGAGCCTGCAGGGCTTACCTGCTGCGGTCACCTGCCTGAGCCGCGACTTGCTGCGGGGGGTCAGGGGACTCATTCTCCGGCTCTAGGAGCACCCTTTCTGCTCTTTGGGGTCCTTTGGTGTCACTCAATTACAGCTGTTCCAAACCTGCCAATCCCCTCCCCATTTTTAGCGGGAGATTACGCGAGCGCGCTGTCTCTGCGGCTCCCAGCTAATCCTGCCTTGGGGAGAATAGTGGCGCTCTGACGTCACTATCAATCCAGCCGCAAGCTGTCCCCTACAGAGGGCCGCATCACGCACACAAATCCCTTCAAGACGACACATTGTTAATTTGGTGTCAACATTCACACTTGTCTCCACTTCGTCAAAAGAACTAATAATACCAAACTTCAGAATTAATGGTGTATACATGTGCTTGACTCACTTCCTATTTTGAGGAATTGCTGATTAACAAAGGAAAACCCAGAGTGACTCAGGCTTTAGACACAGTTTACTTGTGTCTATGTGGAAGTTAGCCAGTCAATTCAGCAGAATGCACGCTTTTAAAAAAAGGCCACTGCGATTATTGCTGTGTGCAGGTGTTCCAGTCCCTATTTTAAGCTTTTATCGACAAGCTCTTCCAACCTGCTCCCTTTGTGAAACTCCAAAAGTACTGCACAAGCAATAAAGCCACACGCAAAAAGTAGTTCAACCTTTCATGAGATTCTATATCCATTCCTAAAGTATTTAACTATGTAGGAAACAAACATAAAAAAAAACAGTAAAGACTTAAAGTTACAGCAGCTGGATAGTCATGGGTACAACTGCTGGCCCACGCGGGGCATTTTCTCTAAAAAATTTAAATAAAACACTTTTAAAATAGTGTATTTTACTAAAGAATGCAACTAAAGAGTTGCATTCTCGGACACGCTCTCATTACTGACTCTTTGCTGTCACTAGCCGAGTGACATGTCCGAATATAGAGAAAAGAGGGCTGCTTAGGGATTTTCAACATATCCAAAGGGACTGTCTGAGAGCAGAGAACAACATTGGAAACGCTATCAAAGCGGAGCGACCTGGGAGGCAGTGGAGGGGGTGCCACAAGAACCACTACACCTAACAACAGGCACATTCAATTGAGCCAGATAAAGGTTTTCACCCTCTGGTGAGTTCTCTTACTCAGCTACTTAAGAAAGAAATCTTACTGCACGGTGGCTGAGTGGATAGCACTCTCGCCTCTCAGCAAGAAGGTCTAGGGTTGGAATCCCGGTTGGACCAGGGCCTTTCTGAGTGAAGTTTGTATGTTCTCCCCGTGTCTGCGTAGGTTTCCTCCGGGTGCTCCGGTTTCCCCTACCACTAAAAATATGTACAATAGGTCTGGCATGTGCCTCCTGTACTGGCAACCCCACTCCCAAAAATCACAATTGTAAACCGCTTTGAGACTCCAATGTGCAGTGAAAAGGCGGTATATAAATAAAGATTACTTACTACTTGCTTACTCAAATGAAAAAAGTTATGAATGCAGCAAGTACACACAGACCTTTCACTATATCTACTTGTATTGTTCAATTGTTCAAAATAAACTAAAATGCTGGAAAAAAAACATGTAATATATGATCCAGTCTAATCAAAATGGGTTTCCAGAGGAGATCCCTTAAAGACCTTATGACGGGTTTTAAAAAAAAAAATAGTGGATATCAAAATTGCATGACAATGTCAATTTGAAAGAGATTCCGGCAAAAAAATCCTACATTTTATAAAAAGAACGTGTTTTTCATGAATTTAAGTTGTCTATGCTCTAACCTGTGTGTGACGTCATAGCGGGTTACGCCCATGCATTGAAAACCATGGATCTATGCCACAGGACTGCCTTTTCTCTCTTCTCTCCACTGATGCCCAACACAATACTGCCCTCTACAGGTGACAATTGCTCACTACACATAAATTGCCGTTTTGAGTGTGAAAAAGTGTCCGAGGTGGGATTTGAACCCAAGTATCTGGATTGGCAGTCCATCGACACAACTACTGGACTATCTTAGTGACAACGAATGTTACTTTCTAGTAATTATTTTAGACTCGCTGTACACGGCCTTGTCATCTTGAATATCCGCGAAAAAATAACTAATACCAAATTGTAAACAACTTACAGCGTTGAAACGTACCCGTTCTAACGTCACCAAGGGCTGTGAAGTTTTTTGGTTTCTAAGGGCGTTGCTATGGGGTTATTTCGATTTGGGGGGATCAGACAAAAAAAACAACAACTGATTTTGAAACCTTTAGTAGTTCTCTTCTAATATAAAATGGTATTAAAACTGTATTAAAACTGTATTTCTAAATAAATCAAACCCGTCATAAGGTCTTTAATATAAGCTTAACAATAACACAATAACTTTAACTTTATAACTTTGGGCAGAGATACCAAAATTCTATACATTTGCGTTTATGAAAATAAACATAAAGTCATTATGAACTTTAATAAGAGGGAATGCAGGTGTGTGCAGCTAATCAGAACTATTTAAACTAGACTAGAGTAGAAGCTTGTCTCACTTTTTCAGAAAGACTGTTCCAAGTTTAGCTGCATACAATTGAAGTTCTGAGTCCCCGTGTTTATTTCTAGTGGTAGTAGCATTAGGAGGCAATAAAACCACAACAATTGCTGACCAAACTCACTTGTCCATTCTCTTCGCATCACACTCACGCAGCTCGCTGGCATCATCTGCTGGAATATCAGTGTAATGACAGCATTATAGTTCACTAATGGTAGGGTGCAAAATGTTTGACAGTGTATCCCATTACCATTTGACCACACATCCACCAAAAACATCCTGTCGTACGCCTAAGTATAAATGCATAGTATCAATGAGAAGACCTGCAAGGCCGAAATGCTAATAGTGTCAATGTGACTAATAGACCAAGGGAACCATTGATTTGCAGTGTTTGCAACAAATAACAAAACAGCTGAAGCAAGCCCCTCTTTGGTCTCAAAGTACCATTGTTGCCCAGAATGTGTCTGTGTGGGCCCTCTGGGAACTATTCATGAATATTCAAATAGATTAGAGCTATACTTGCAGATACTGAAGGTGCATTTTACCAGTTTAGAGAATGAGCTCTTCGAGTTTCAAGATAAGAAGGCCTGAAAGAACCCTAAAAAGGTTAATGCCATCTGGTGCATACGTGTTTTTAAATGGTTAATAGGTGCACCGGCTAGGATTGGCCTCTTGCAGCACCTTTTTGTTGTTTTAAGTTCAAGGGGATAAAATATTTCACAGGATCTGATATCACCAAGTAATTAACAGTCCAGAATCTCTGTTAAAGTTGATTAAGGACTGATTACCTCATTTACCCTAGTCCTGTTCCTAACCCTAACCAAAGTAAACCCTAACCCAATGAAACATTGATCCTGGACAAACAACTTTGACATTGATCTGACTGTTAATGACTTGATGATACTGGATCATTCTTAATCTGACTGTGATTTTACCCCCTGTGTGAGCATATCCATATTAATCTGCCATGACACAGATCTCACTTCTGCCTGAAACAGCCCTGGAGACAGGATCTTTTTTTAAGATATGTAAGTGTTGCGTTCATTTCTCTAAACTCCACCAAGAATGCTCCAGTCATAGGCCCTTTTCTTTCAAATGCTGATCTGGAAATATTAAAAAAATATTCAGTTCATTAATAATAATAATAATAATGATAATAATGCATCAGTTATTATTACCGTGCATCATGTAGCGCTTCTTTAGACACTAAAAGATGCTTCACATGTGATTATTCATTCACTCTATACATGCTGGTGATAAACTACAACTGTAGCTATAGCTGCCCTGGGGCCCACTGACAGAATCGAGGCAACCAATATGTGCCATCAGCCCCTTTGACCATGCATGACCAATCATTCACGATTACACCAGATTCATTCTGGAAAGTACGTGTGAGGTGTCATAAGAACACAACCACAGTTTGGCACTTTACAGCCTGGGGTCTCTCATCACAATTACAGCAGACCTTTGCCCTGCTTAGTTAATGAGTTCTGTCAGGATCAGGCTTTCACATGCAGGTTAGCCTGAAAACTCCAGCATATTATGATACAATTAGTTAATTGCAACCAAACAGGGTATTTTGCTTATATTTGTAATTGCCTGTGGGTGTTTTCTGTCTTGATGGTTTTTGACCAGCTGGAATGGCAGTACCTGTGCTATGTTTTTGTTTTTCATTGAAGTGATCCAGGGTCTTTAGACAGGGGTGTCCTTTACTGTTGACTTTTTCCATAGACTGTTTACACACCTCATGTACACGACGCGCTTTCCCTGCCCTCTGATAATACCGTAGATCCATGAACCTTACAAATGATCTATAGTCTTTTTCCGCCAAACCATGCATGCATTTCGGATTTTTGTTTACATTATCTGAGGCTCTGTACTTTTTGTGTTGAATACAACTTAAATCTTCATGTTTATTCCAAACCTCTCACGTGTAGGGAAGAAAAACAACTTGACAACATACAGGGGTTTTATTGATCAGATCTTTCTTTACATTTAACGATGTACATTCATTAATTCCTTCTGTTGAGTGAACCTGGATAATTGGCATTCTTAATATCAACCTTATTGTCCACTCACGGAAATAACTGTTAACTTTCCCATGGCCTGCAATTCTACTTAGTGCACATGAACAGGAGAGGCTCTGGGAGTTAGCAGACTGAGATGGACAATTTGGATATCGCAACCAAGTGTTGCTCTATTTTATTTACAAAATCACATATATATTGATTTACCTAGTTAATAAATACATTATCATATATTATAACTATTTGCGCTAAAATGAAAAGCTGTGTTGCTGCCATTTGTATAAAATCAACATAGACAACATCTGGAATAGGCATAAATAGTAGAATTGCTTACCGAACTATGATAACAGTGTTTGGATGTCCCTGATTATGTTAGAAAGTGATTTAAATTACAGTAAACGGTGACAATATTATTTTGAGTATAGTGCAGGAATTTTGCATGGACTTTTTGGTGTTCTTAATAACATAGATGCAAGCTGAACAGGGAAATGTGCTTGTTACATATATTCATCAAAGTCATTCATTTCTTATAGGTGCAATGAGTTTCCGTCACAATAAAAACACAACAGCATAGAAAGTATATCACCTCATCACAATGCAACCAACAACTTAAAACCTCCTGCAAAAGTCACTTAAGTATCCAGACAGCGTACTCATGACACATTTACAAATATATTCTCGTCAAAACATAATAAAAAAAAAAGAACAAACATATTTATGAGACGATATATTCTTCGGAGTGGACAAGCACACACATACACACACGCACACACACACACAATGTAAAATATAATACAAGGATGTGCGGACAATCCGGGGACAAAGGCTCTAGAAGTTCAGCGTCTGCGACATCATCTTCCACCAGTCCATCAGCTCCTCACGTTCCTCCTCCTTCCGCTCCGTCATGGACTCCAACTCAAAGTCCACCTGAGGGCACACGCACACTTCATTTCACAAGAATTCTTCGGAAATGCACCCAGGACATCATAAAGAATTGTATCATGTGAGACCCATATATGAGGTAAATTGTAGCAAGCAAGACTAACATTTTCAAAAACAGCTTCAAGTTGTTATTAGTTTCATATTGCAAGAGGAATTACTGAAGTGATATTTCAGCTGTGAAAGCCTAATTAAAAAAAGTATATTTATTATTGTAATTTATTGACTATTATTGAAGTTCTGACGAGAATCGAAATCTATTATTCAGGAGAGCGATTGATGTGAGAGACCAGCAGATCCAGAGAGTGTTTTGGCCTGTGTCTGTGTATTTTGTGTTGTGTGGAATGAGTGAGAAAGCCAATTTAGCGTCTGCTTCGTCCAACCCCCTTCCATGCAGTGTATCTCTGTTAACTTTATATTCTGTTTTTATTTTTTGTGGAACGTGTACACAAGTTTGACCAAAATATGTTTGATTGATTGATTGAGTTATGGTCCTGGTAGTGGAAACCGGAGCACCAGGAGGAAACCTTCAAAGGCACTAGCAGAACATGCAAACGCTACTCAGAAAGGCCTGGTGCTGAGGATTCAAACCCAGAACAAGCTTTAACCGCTGTAACTGTGAGTATAATAATTTGTAGAATCATTGTTATATGTTCAACTGTTGCTTGTCTTGTGTGTTGTTAGTATAACCATATGTATTGTAATGTTTAGATTTTCCGGTAGACATATTTACAGAAAGTTTGACAAAAAAAAAGGATGCTGTAAATGTCCTGTACAGACTGTCAAATAATCTAAAAAAAAAAAAAGTCAATTTATTCCTAACTTACAACACACAGTTACTTTGAAATACATGTGCCCAGTCTTACCCTTGTGGCAGGGCTATGGGGAACCGCCACCTTCTTGATCACGGTGAGGTATCCAGGGGCAGACGCGGCCACTTTGTAGTTCCCTGGAGCCAGCAGACGCCAGTAGTCTCCATCTTGGGCTAAAACACACACACAATGCAACCAAAGACCAATAGTTAAAACGTCTCAGTTACGGAGCATTTCCTAGAACGACCACCAGAGAGAAGCATTGCAGAATATTCTCTGGTAAAAATTAAACACACATTTGTTTGAAAATTTATATGAATATGAAAATTATTTCAACACTAATACAATATTTCGTATATAAGATTGTGGATGTGAGTAAATGTAAACCAAATACTTTGTAATTATAAATATTGTATCTCTGCAGCTCTTCCTGGCCAAGGCTACATTCACCAAAAGTGAATGAAGGAGAAGCATCTTCGAATGTAATTGTTAAAATAAACAGTAAAAAAACTTCTGATTAAACAAACTCAAAAAGTAAACATGGTGCGGGACTTTCAGTAAACTGTTCTGGATGCCAAGAAAACCAAAAACTATTACAACTATTTCCTCGCAAAGCACTATTTCGCTTGGACTTTAAGGACTGCTGCATTTGCTTCTAGTGATCCAAAGCCTCCAGATAAATAACGAGCCCTCAAATGGTGTTCGGACAAAAATAACTTTACTTCCAGGGGGAACATACCAGTGGTGATGTCGTGGTCGATGCCTTCCACAGAGACGGTGGCGTTGGACACGGGGTTGCCTTGGAGATCGCGGACAAATCCCTTGACGCCACGGTGAACCTAGAAGAAGAATGATTTATTACCTTACAGTAACTTTGCGCCGGCTCAGCGGGCTTTAAATGCACAGTACAGGAGTATAGGGCTGTCAGACGTTATTCAAATGATCATAACTATATGGATTATTTAAATAGTTATGAACTAAATGCGGTTTAAGGACGCTTAAACTTAGACAGTGCTTTTCACTTCTCAAACCCCCTTTTTATTATTTTACTACATTTAGTTTAATTTATTCCATTAAAACATAGAGTACACGCATAATACATGTAAGGACCGGATACAGAACCTCCTTTATTGATTCCCCCCAACCACTGAGCCAACCTGGCCACCCCAATAAGCCAATGGGTTCTAACACAATGATGACTTGTAATCTATATTTAATTGGGTTTGAACCAGGACAATGTGTGACTGATGTGAGTACGGCTTTATTCTTATCAATGTTTATATATCTCACTGGTTTTGTTTTTGTTTAATGTATTGTAATATGTTCATAAAACAAAATAAAAACTTTAATTATAAAAAAAATGATCAAAGCACTCTGAAGAGGAAACATTACCTCACATTAGCATGCTAAGTCCATAAACCTGCTCTGACAAAAGCCCTAATCACATAAAACAAGTATGTATGATTTTGTGCATTTCCTCATGTTGTTCTTTCTGCTGTTCACATAAACCACACCAGAGAGAGCTCTGTCCAAATCCCTTTTTGCGCTTTAGGACGCACTCTTCAACGATAAAAATAGATACATCCCTGGCTGCACTCCTAAGCATCATACATATACAAAAAAGAATATCTGTTAAATCTTGTTTGAATTTTATAGTTTTTCTCAGATGTTCTTTTTTGTTTTGGTCAATTGTATATATTAAAAAAATATTCAACAGATTTAAGCAACTGAACTACAAATGTATTCATCTATGTTTTATTTTATTCAACCAATTGATCATTAACGCGTATTAATATATTCAACATATTGAAACCTGTTTTCATGCATTTCAGCAAAAAATATATAAACCGGATGCAAGACATACAATTTCACACGGTATGAGAAGGGGTTGGACGAAAACAGCTTTGGCTCCAACTCCTCTCATTCATTCCCACACAAAACACACACAAACACTCACCGATTAGACAACTAACCGATTAATGCAGTAGTGTGGAGGGGCCTACCTGCTCGATGTAGTTGACCAGTGAGTTGCGGTTCTGGTCCCAGTAGCTCTTGAGGGTGTCTTCGCTGGGGAATTTGTCACAGCTCAGCTCCAGAGTGATCTCAAAACAGTTGCTGCTGAGGTAGTTAAAGTCCTGCATCCCTGGAAAAGGCACAATACAGTTTATAGTACTGTGTTACATAATATGAGAGAATTATCTGAGGAATAACATTGAATTACATAAAAAAAATATTAATGTTTAGTTGTGCTGTAGTTTAATAATTATATAATATAATTATTAATATTGATAATCATAGTTTGAATAATTTCCATATTCATCTCAAATGTTACCATAATCTAGAGAGGAAGCAAGTGAAGATCAATGGATACTACTGTACAACGACTTATGATTCACATTTTAGTTTCAGGAATATACAATGTAATTCAGTTTAAATGAAAACAAAATACATATAGATATCTCTAGTTGTTCAAAGAAGTCTTATTATCTAGTGTTCCAAGGAAATATTGCCGGGTCTAACCTAAAAACCAGAGAGGACCAAGCCTCATCTGTGGAAAGATCCAGGTTATGAACCCAGGCTCTGTGAGCAGCCTGCCCTTGTACGTCAGAGCCTCTACGTCACTCGACTTTGATAAAAACGCACCTTTTTTCTTTGGATTTTGGCACAAACTGAACAGACTCATGGTTTTTAGTTTTTATAATGACTTTTTTTTACTATATTTGTGTTATTTCTGACATACTGTGTTTTTATGTGTCTTATTATTGTATTCCTTACGACGTGTACAACACTTTGGGCTCTGGAAGTTGTAAACAAACTTCACTTTGACATTGTGCAATATAAAAAACTTGACTTTGAATAACCTTTGGTGACCTTCCAGAGGCCCCTGAGGTCCAGACCCCACTTTGAGAATCGCTGCTATAAGTATGTAAGTAAATGAGAGAGGAAAACAGATCTAACAGTTAAAGTTGACTATGCTTAACATCAACATTCCCCCACTTTGGCACAAATTTAGGTTGTGTTATCTTCAGATAGCTTCAAAAAACTTCCATATTCCCTCTGTCTGGGGTCAGAGTAGTGTGGCTTACCCCCCGGCACGCTGTACCAGGCCCCTCCGTTGGTGATGCCCTCCTTGAAGCTGGAGTCATCATCGTTCTTGCGGCACACGGGGCGGTTTGGGTCGGACATGACGGGGTTGAACATGGAGTAAGAGCGAGCCAGGGACTTGAAAATGACGTCATCGGGGCTGGCGCTGTACTCATGGGCAGAGCCTGGAGGGAAGAGAGTACACATGTTTACACAGCTCTGTCAACTCACCACTCACCACTCAAAGCCTGTGGACATGCGCTTGAGTACATTACAAATATAGATGAAAATTAAAGTTGGAATTTAAAATGATATTATATGTGTAAAGACATGTATAATGCATACTATGGTAGTGTTAAATGGATATATAAGGATATTAAGTGTATCAAGATTTATTATGATTTTTTCTTATATTTGAGTTGTATTGAGCTACACTTCATTCTCCAAAAAGACCAAATTTAAAATCGTATGAATGAAAAATGTGACTGATATATGAGTACTGTACTGTTTACTGCTGACCACACAGTATGGCCATAATAATGAGTAATAGTTTAATATAAAACAAGTCGAGAAGTTTGAAGTGGCCAAAAGAGTCAAACCAGCATTTTATCATGTTTATTTTTATCTCATTTCTTCACATTCCTGTTGTCACGTCCCCAACATTTAACAAGACGCTCTCTCATAGATTTGAACAAATTGGTAATTGGTACACTGGTAAAGTAAAAGTAAGGGTGCTGAACTAATATTAAGACGAAGAGGTCCCACAGTGGGGAAACTAAAATAAAATCTACAACTTTAGCATAATGAAGAAGCAAGACTTACAGTAACTACAAAATCTCTGACTTTAGCAAAATAAGAAGCAAGTATAATATACTGTATATTCTAGTGCAAGAAATATATAGTTATGGTATGTTTACATCTGTACGTGCAGCATGAAGGTCTGGGACAAAGGGACCAAGTAATGTGACAGTAACACATGTGGTTCTATGTTGCACATTCTAACATTATTAAACTTATGATTGGACAGATGAGTAAAGTAAAGTGACAGTGGACACATGGTTTCTAAGGGAGAAGGGCGGTGTTACCAGTGCGGGTCTCGTCGTAGGGGTAGTTGGCCACCACATCTCCTCCGTGAAGGTTGGCGGACAGCACAAAGGGGATGTCCATGATCCAGTGGATAACAGCTTTGGTCTCTGGGGCCAGCTGCAAGGACAGTGTGCACTATGAGTCATGCCAAAAGGTGCATTGAAATACCGGCCTATGATTCACTCAAATGTTAATTCAAGTTCCATATCAAGCAGCGGAAAGAACAAGCTGTTCAGGTATGGTTAGGAAAAAGGGTAAGTACAGTTTATTGGGAAAAAGCAATTCCTGCATGTAAAAATAGTTTTAAATGGAAATCAATGTGGGAAAATATTTGAAAATCTCTCAAAAAGACTTAGCTCTGTCTTTCCATGTATTACTGAAAAACTACATCTGCACTCTCCTCTTTTGAGAAGTTTTAATGCAGTTACATCCAGACAACTTCAGCTCAGTCAACACAGACATGCTAAATGCTATTACTCGAAAGCTCAGAACCTCACTATACATTAGCTGAATTCAGGCCTGGCCTGGGACCAAAAAACGGCCTAGGCATTTGTACCTTCTTGACGGCCCAGATGTTTGTTTTTTAAAACGTTTTTAACGCAGTTATTTATATGGTATGTGGAAGCACATACTGTACAGGATGTGTGTAGTTTTATACATGTAGACTGTTGCACTTTACTTCAAGAGAGTAATAAACATGTCACTGCTCAGACTGAGGGAGATTGACACAGACCAACAACAGTCCGGACCTGAGGGCATCACAGTGAAGTGTGTTTGTTACAAGGATGAGAATGAGACATTTCAAAAAGGTCTGAAATGCATAATGTCAGCCAATGGCTGTTATTAAATCTGTTTGATTTGTTCAAAACTTTTCACTTTTGTGTACAACCAACATGAACTGGTAGTGCAAGGGAAAATCTAGGTACCCCAGCTTTAATATAGCAAGTTTAGTTGCGCTTCGGGAGGAGATACGGACACTTCCTGAGGCTTCATAGTCCAGCTTCAGCTGTGTATTTATTGCGTTCACAGGTTACGCAAAGACACCCACACAACAAGCAGAGAATAGTTCTGCGCTCACAGCTGCTGGACAATGGAACCTCTATCAATACAAAGCGGCCGCAGCTGCCCCGGGTCAGAACACTGCGGCCATGTAGGATGCGGAATCCTGTTCGAGTACGTACTGCAAATAACAGCAAGTGCCCCGCAATTTTAGTTCGAACATTTTTGACCATGGAACCCAGTAGGGATACTGTACTTTTCAAAATATTATGTATTTGAAATGGTCCCTCCTCTTTGAATAACTACGACCAGTAAGATTTTCTGGAGGAGAGCAGTTAAACCAATGTTGGGGCACCTCAAGAATTTTAAATAATGTTGACCAATCAGGGAGTTGCAGGGCTGACCATGAGCAGGTCCAGCCAGTGCTTGTCTCAAAAGGTTTCTCTTCACAGTTGAACTAACATTCCCCACGTGCAGGTACCTTGCTGTTGTCGTCCACGGCCTTCTTCATGTTCTGCAGCAGGTGGTTGTTGGCCCCGCCCTCTCTCTCGTTGATGTACACGATGCGGTCCAGGTCGGGGAAGTTCCGATTCAGATCCACCCCTTGTGCGTTACTGCGGCCCACAAACCAGTCCTTCATCTCCCCAGGCTGCACACCCCAACCCAGACACACACATTAGTATTAACAGGGCATCATTACAACATTTACCACAAAGAGCAGCTGAGATCACAAGCCACAGGACGGCCAGGGAACAAGGAGTAACTCAATAGTAGATGTTGAGATTTTAAAAAAACTTTTACAAGGTTTGCAAGGTATTTTCAGCTATAAAAACAAATTGGTTAGCATGTTGGTTTACCCCGTTTCCACCAACTTCTACTACTTCTATTACTAACATTCTAATGCTAAACAAATAATAACATCATTAAAGATAATACGTCTTTTTTGTGATCATGGGGTTGGAAGAAATTAGAGTCAAATTTCAGCCATGTTGCTCTGAAAAAAATATTGACATGGAATTATTCTGTGTAAATAATTTTGTTCTTGTTCTTGCTGTTAACAAGTGACAGAGGAAATAGATAGGTAATAGATTATATTTGCAAAATTTGTTCGGGAGTCTTGCAACAACTTTAATTGCTTATGACAGTGTCTCCCAAAGTGGGGTCCGCGGCCCCCTGGTGGGCCGCGAGGGTACTGCAGGGGGGCCGCGGGAGGTCATAAAAAAAAAATAATAATAATATTATTATTTAATGTTAAATTTATAATGTTTTGTTTGTAATATTAAAATATTTGTGTTCATTATTTGACTTGAATAATCCACTGTAATCATTTTTGTATTACAATGTTTGTAGCAGAGGCTATTTCCCCAAAATAAAATAACCAGAAGAGCCTATTCTTAATGTTGTCTTCTTGGTTATTATTTTGGGGGGCCACGCAGACCCATCAGATTTTTAAGTGGGCCTCGGTGTTACTGAGTTTGGGAATGGCTGGCTTATGAGATGGCCGGCCTATTTAACTAATGTATACATATTTTCTCTTGGGTACTTTTTGTGTCTCAGTTTTGATTTCAATGTTGCTGAAGACATTTTACATTTTTACCAAGAATATAGCACAGCTAGCATAATACCGCTCAAAGGCCATGGCCCCCTCAAAAAAATGAAATAAGAAATGTGTGTATATATGGTATCCAGTACCTCTTCAAGGTACTGGAGAGGAGGCTACGGCCGATGGTCGAATCTCGGATCCAGGAGGAGCAGTGTGGTTTTCGTCCCAGTCGTGGAACACTGGACCAGCTCTATACTCTCCATCGGATACTCGAGGGTTCATGGGAGTTCGCCCAACCTGTCCACATGTGCTTTGTGGATTTGGAGAAGGCGTTCGACTGTGTTCCCCGGGGTGTCCTTTGGGGGGTTCTCCGGGAGTACGGGGTCGGGGGTCCTCTGCTGAGGGCCATCCGATCCCTCTATGACCGGAGCCAGAGCTGTGTTCGCATTGCCGGCAGTAAGTCAGACCTGTTCCCGGTGAATGTTGGCCTCCGACAGGGCTGCCCTTTGTCACCGGTTCTGTTCACTGTATTTATGGACAGAATATCTAGGCGCAGCCAGGGGTCGGAGGGGGTCCGGTTCGGAGACCACAGGATTTCATCTCTGCTGTTTGCGGACGATGTTGTCCTGTTGGCTCCAACGAACCAGGACCTGCAGCATGCACTGGGACGGTTTGCAGCCGAGTGTGAAGCGGCTGGGATGAGAATAAGCACCTCCAAATCCGAGGCCATGGTGCTCGACCGGAAAAAGGTGCCTTGCCCTCTGCAGGTGGGTGGAGAGGTCCTTCCTCAAGTGGAGGAGTTCAAGTATCTCTCTTGTTCACGAGTGAGGGAAGGATGGAGCGTGAGATTGACAGGCGGATCGGTGCAGCGTGCGCAGTGATGCGGTTGCTGTATCGGACCGTTGTGGTAAAGAGGGAGCTGAGCCGAAAGGCAAAGCTCTCGATTTACCGTTCAATCTTCGTTCCCTCCCTCACCTATGGTCATGAGCTTTGGGTAATGACCAAAAGAACGAGATCGCGGATACAAGCGGTCGAAATGAGCTTCCTCCGCAGAGTGGCTGGGCGCTCCCTTAGAGATAGGGTGAGGTGCTCAGTCACACGGGAGGAGCTCGGAGTAGAGCCGCTGCTCCTCCACGTCGAGAGGAACCAGTTGAGGTGGCTCGGGCATCTGTTCCGGATGCCTCCTGGACGCCTCCCTGGGGAGGTGTTCCGGGCACGTCCCACCGGGAGGAGGCCCCGCGGAAGACCTAGGACACGCTGGAGGGACTAAGTCTCTCAGCTGGCCTGGGAACGCCTTGGGGTCCCCCCGGACGAGCTGGAGGAAGTGTGTGTGGATAGGGAAGTCTGGGCGTCTCTGCTTAGACTGCTGCCCCCGCGACCCGGCAACGGATAAAGCGGAAGAAAATGGATGGATGGATGGATGGATGGATGTATATATGGTCTATTATTTCTTTTTGCATTGGATCGTTCCACACAGCTGCAGTTGAAAAAACGCATGTATATATATTAAGCACAAAATGAAAGAACTTGGACGTACATTTACCTGCGAGGCGGCCTTCTCAAATCCATCTGGGTTCATGGAGGGCATGAGATGGATGCGTGTGCTGTGGAGGAGCTCGATGATGGTATCGTTGCCCTGCTGGTACTGGTTACACAGGTACTGGGCCAGATAGATGAGCAGCTCCCGGCCTACCGCCTCATTGCCGTGCATGTTGGCAATGTATTTGAACTCAGGCTCTCCTGAAAACACAAACACAATGCCATGTTAATTGCCTGTATGTGAAGTGCAATGCATTTTGTTGGCCAAATATCTACTGAATGAATTATCATATAATATAATATTTTTATCGACTAAAAAGTTTAACAAAACATTACAATGGGCATGGCTGAAAATGAGGCTGAATCTGGATTTGTTGTTTTCACACTGAAATTAGCACAATAGCTAAATTGCATCCATTATCCTAAGGCAGGCATACACATTTTAAAAGAGAAGAGAAAGTCCAAGGAAAAGCCGAACTCCATCTATGGGAGCATGACTGGTTTGATTTCAACCAATTATTCAGGACTCCTTTAAATGTTAGGTAGGTCCCACAGTTAAGTATGTGTTCCGGCAAAGTGTTCCATAATGTTGTGCCTCAGATGGACGCTACCATTTGGCTGAATTTAGTCCTTCGGCTTGTTGGTGTATCTACAACTCTCTAAGACCTCCATGAGGCTGGTGTGATTTAGGTCTATATAAAAATATATTTAATTGAATCGTATGAAGAATGCTGGTTAACATTCTTTGACTGTTGCACCGAGCAAAAGCAATTTCCTAGACTGTGACTTCCTGTTACTTTCATGGCAATAAAAATGATTCTGATTCTGATTCTGATCTTATTCAAGACAAAAGTTCCTCCTTCAGACCTGGTTTAGAGCCGGTTCAGTCCTGGGTCAAAGCTAGGTCAGAGCTGCTTCAGGGCAGCTTCGCAAACAAACACATTTAGAAATGGGTTAAAAATATCCACTGTCAAACAAAAAACAAAACAAAAAGTAACATAAAAGTTATTAGTAATGGAAAATTCTGATATATGAACCATACAAAAATAATAATAACCATTGTGGAAAGTTTTTTTTTTGGCTGTACGTATCCAATAGCTATAGAATATATGTGTAATTAAATACTGAACAAGTTTTGTATCTGAGGTTCATTCCAACCAAAGAAATGACATCATGGCATCAAGCAGGTAGCAGACGGCCTCAGAAATGTGAATCAATGGATTTCACAACAGTAGCACCGTGAAAGGGGAGAATTGGCCTGTGCGAGTTGGGCCTAATGACTTCAAGCCTGTAATTAAGTCTTTCCGCTGGGCAAAGGTTGTTTTTTTACAGGCTGACGGGCTGTCAAACACTCCGTCGGCTGCACACGCACTTTGAAGTAGTAGGACTAGTGAGGGAAGCTATTGCACAGATGCTCTGAACCAGGAGACCTCGGCTTCCTCCGTCTGTTTTCAAGTTCATACAGCTTCTTGAACAGTTTCCTCTTGTTTTACACCAAAATAGAGTATAGGCCTCTGAACATCGGCAAAAGAGATTATTTATAAAGCATGCATCGGTACAAAAAACAAGTTGATTGAAAAGTAGGGGATGCGGTCCAAAAACGTAGTATTTTGATGGAGCGTTGAGAGATGAGACAGAATATTAGATTAGACAAGAACACTAATCCTCTTCTCCCTTACTATTATATATGCCATCTTCATTATGACTTCAGCTCTTGTCTTTTACCTGCACCTGTGAACTGGTTTCCCCTTGGTCCGGACTAGTGGGTTGTACCCCCTCGGAAACTTACAGAGCCTTCATGAATGGCCCCTTGCTTCAGCTATATGCATGCTAATAGAGCCTGCAGAGAGACCAGAGACAGACCAGAGGGAGGTACCAGAGAGTGAGAGAGACACACACCAGAGAGCGACACCAGAGACACGCCGGAGAGATACCCGAGAGGGATCAGAAAGATACCATAGAGAAAGGGACCAGAGAAAGACCAAATAGATGGACCAGAGAGATATCAGAGAGAGACACCAGAGACAGAAACCAAAGAGATGGACTAGAGAGAGATCAGAGAGGCTAGCTCAATATTTGCTGAAATGTACAAATAAAGCAGTGATTGGCTTTTTAGGCACACATTAGACCAAATGCGCATCTGTCCTTCTCTAATTGTAATATGTATGTAAAAAGACAAAGGACGATAATACAAAAAAGCATATCTTCAAATTGACTTTCACGATATTATTGTCTACAATATATTTTGCCCACCCCTACCAGAGAGACCAGAAAGAGATCAGAGAGTGACCAGAGATACTTGAGAGAGAATAGTTTTATATATATTTTTGCATTGCAAAATAATAAATAATCATTACATGGCCCATTTAACTGTACTGGCTAAATGAACAAATATGTAAACACAAACTTCAAACTGTATACGTTGAAAAGAGAGCCAAGAGCATTATTCTAACAGATGTATTTTCCAGGTGCCAGAAGTGCCACGTCTCCCTGTGCATAATGTGATGACGTGTGTGCTCCACCTATGACGAACATCACCACTTCACCTTTTTGAACAGCATGAGGGACGGCTAATCAATGCGGTCTCCACGACAACCACCTCAGATAATAACAAGGGCAGCGGAAACCCTCTGTCACTGTGGTAACCGTGAGGCAGGTGCATGGTGGGTAAACACACAGGGGATATCAGGCTGAACAAGTTTTGATATTACAGCATATACTAATCTATATTTATTTTTATACAATTCTAAAACTTTCAAACTGTCTCTTATGAGTGACTAATAATAAAGGTTATATCTCTATGTATCTCTTTTCCAAATAAACCTTTTAATTCAGACAGCAATTATGTGATTAAAGCTGGGGTGTCTAACTTTTCCCCTTAAAGACTACATTTTGCTTGTCCCAACAGAAATAGTAAAAACAATATGAACAAAAAAGACCACAGCACCCTGTCTTTATCTTAGTGTAGAACAGGCATGTCAAACTGAAGCCCGTGGGCTAAATCCAGCCCACAAGACCATTTTTAGTGGCCCCTGAAATGATTTGCAATTATCACTTTTACAGTAACTGGGAAATACTATGGATGGCTAATGGAATACTATGGCATGTTATACTTAATTTTAAAGCTCATTTTATTAGGAAAGCAACCATATCATTGTTTAGTTTGTAAGTTAAATTATGTATTTTTTTATTCTGAAAAACGGCGGTCCAGTTGTGGCTGAATCCAAACCCACTAGAAAATAATATCAAAACTCACAAAAATATGTAAAAGAAAAAGAAAAGATAATAAAAATACTTTTGGCCCCAACCAGCTCTTATGTTTTTTAAACTTGGCCCCCGATCAAAATGAGTTTGACACGTCTAGTGTGTCATCGGTGCTTATAGGAGCACAGGCAGGAAGATTCTGGCAACAAAAGTGTGATTGTGATTGTAATGACTTTATTAGACTAAGAGTACATATACGGTGCCTTTAGCCTGAATAACTAACATTTGCAAATGTTTGTCAAAGAGACGTCCGCAAGGTTCTGCTAAATGAAACATAGAACCAGGGGAGCTGACATGTTTACGTAGGATGAGGAGTGGTGATGAGAGAAGCAGGTAGTCGGAGAATTGCACAGTGAGGCCATGACGTGACAATAATGGAAGGAGGGGGGATAGCATCAGAAACATGCAGGAGAAAACGTGGGCATGTGATGGATAATAAATGACCCCTCTCCTGCTAGCCTCCCTGCGCCAATTATTCCTCAGCTGGTTTTCTTATCTGCACGAGGGGGTTTCTTCTCTATCTCTAAAACATTCACTTTGCTAATGACTTCCACAGACTTACAAGCTGCTGGACAATTTCACTATCATCTTTCAAGTGAATTATGAACTTGAGCTTTGCCACGTCTGTAACGATATACGGTAAATTCTAGCTATAAACACGCCGTCACGTAACATTCCTCTTATATAATGTTTGAATAATACCAGTGGCCGGTTTTGCAGCTATGTTACGTTAATCCAAACCACAATCAGGATACATGAAGAATAGCCTGGAATTCTAACTGGCCTTTTTATTTTTTTAAGTTGTTTCAATGATACAAACCATTTTCTTTGAGTGACAGCAAACTTTGCAATTCAAGAGGAAATCCATTCAGGAACAATGTATCTAAAACAGATGCCCAAGCCCTCTCAGCTTTAACTCAACATATATATGAAGTCCATCAAGACGACTGCTGTTGTGGTTTTGGGCTTTACAATAATATATTGATTATATCTGATCTAGCACAGTGCATTTGGGTAAAGGGAATACCCATGTTCTTCTGTCTAAGCAGATACACCCAGACCCTTAATCCAAATTGCATGTGATGGATCAGAAAACAATAGTCCAAGTTGGTGAAGTGAATTGAGAAAAATATATACAGTGCAAAGTATTGCGAAAGTATTCGGCCCCCTTGAACCTTTCAACATTTCGCCACATTTCAGGCTTCAAACATAAAGATATAAAATTTTAATTTTTTGTCATGAATCAACAACAAGTGGGACACAATCGTGAAGTGGAACAAAATTTATTGGATAATTTAAACTTTTTTAACAAATAAAAAACTGAAAAGTGGGGCGTGCAATATTGTTCGGCCCCTTTACTTTCAGTGCAGCAAACTCACTCCAGAAGTTCAGTGAGGATCTTTGAATGATCCAATGTTGTCCTAAATGACTGATGATGATAAATAGAATGCACCTGTGTGTAATCAAGTCTCCGTATAAATGCACCTGCTCTTTGATAGTCTCAGGGTTCTGTTTAAAGTGCAGAGAGAACCATGAAGACAAAGGAACACACCAGGCAAGTCCGAGATACTGTTGTGGAAAAGTTTAAAGCCGGATTTGTATACAAAAAGATTTCCCAAGCTTTAAACATCTCAAGGAGCACTGTGCAAGCAATTATATTGAAATGGAAGGAGTATCAGACCACTGCAAATCTACCAAGACCCGGCCGTCCCTCCAAACTTTCATCTCAAACAAGGAGAAGACTGATCAGAGATGCAGCCAAGAGGCCCATGATCACTCTGGATGAACTGCAGATAACTACAGCTGAGGTGGGAGAGTCTGTCCATAGGACAACAATCAGTCGTGCACTGCACAAATCTGGCCTTTATGGAAGAGTGGCAAGAAGATATCCATAAAAGATATCCATAAAAGTCTCGTTCAAAGTTTGCCAAAAGCCA